AGCAGTGAGGATTTGATCTCTTGTCAGGCACATACAAGAATCAATCAATAACTCCCGAATTGGTGTGTTTCAGTGGGTTGGATGTACTTTGAGGACAGAAAGGTCATTGGTTCGATTCCTGGTCAGGGCACATGCCTGGGTTGCAGGTTCAGTTCCCGCTTAGGGAGTGCACAAGAAGCAACTGAACACACTGGCTGGTATGGCTCAGTGGATTGAGTGTTGGCCTGCAAACCAAAGAGTCGCCGGTTTGATTCCTAGTTGGGCACCTGCCTGGGTTATAAGCCAGATCCCCATTAGGGGGTGTGTGAGAGGCAACTACACATTGATGTTTCTCTCCCTTCTCCTCTCTTTAAAAATATTAATAAAACTTTTATTTATTTTAAGTATGTTTTATTGATTATGCTATTACAGTTGTCCCCTATTTTCCTCTCTTTTATTCCATTCTGCCCTGTACCACACCTTCCACCAGCATTCCCCCCATTAGTTCAGGTCCATGGGTCACAAATATAAGTTCTTTGACTTCTCCATTTCACATACTATTCTTAACCTCCCCCTGTCTATTTTGTACCTACCATTTATGCTTCTTAGTCCCTTTACCTTTCCCCCATTCTCCCCTGACCCATTCTCTGCTGATAACCCTCCACGTGATCTCCATTTCTGAGATTCTGTTCTTGTTCTACTTGTTTGCTTAGTTTGTTTCTGTTCTTGTTTTTTAGGTTCAGTTGTTGATAGTTGTGTGTTTGTTGTTATTTTACTTTTCATATTTTTGATCATCTTCTTTTTCTTAGATAAGTCCCTTTAACATTTCATATGATAAGGGCTTGGTGACGATGAACTCCTTTAACTTGACCTTCTCTGGGAAGCACTTTATCTGCCCTTCCATTCTAAATGAAAGCTTTGCTGGATAAAATAATCTTGGATGAAGGTCCTTGCCTTTCATGACTTTGAATATTTCTTTTCAGTCCCTTCTTTCCTGATTTTTGAGAAATCAGCTGATAGTCTTATGGGAACTGTTTTGTAGGTAACAGTCTCCTTTTCTCACTGCTTTTAAGAGTCTCTCCTTATCTTTAATCTTCAGTAATTTAATCAGGATGTGTCTTGGTGTGTTCCTCCTTGGATTCGAGTTCTTTGGGATTCTCTGAGCTTCCTAGATGTCCTGGAAGTCTATTTCCTTCACCAGATTGGGGAAGTTTTCCTTTATTATTTTTTCCAAAGAAGTTTTCAATTTCTTGCTCTTCCTTTTCCCCTCTGGCACCCCTATGATTCAGATGTTGGAATGTTTAAAGTTGTCCCAGAGGTTCCCAAGTTTCTCCTCATTTTTTTTTGAATTCTTGTTTTTTCATTCTGTTCTGGTTGAATGTTTATTTCTTCCTTCTGCTCCCAACCATTAACTTGATTCCTGGTTTCCTTCCCTTCACTGTTGGTTCCCTGTATATTTTTCTTTATTTCACTTTGCATAGCCATCACTTTTTCCTCTATTTGGTGTCTGTACTCAATCATTTCTGTGAGCATCCTGATATCCAGTGTTTTGAACTCTGCATCTGATAGGTTGACTATCTCCTATCACTTAGTTCTTTTTATGGATCTTGATCTGTTCTTTCATTTGGGCCATATTTTTTTGTCTGGGTGTGCCTGTTATGTAGTAAGGAGCAGAATCTTAGATATTTGCCAAGGTGGGACAACCCAGGTCACTACATTGTGATGCTATATATGTGGGTGGGGTCAGAGAGGGAACAATGCCACCTGCCCCACTTTCAGTCACTTCCCCTGCTACCCACAAGTGAATTAGGCCCACACGATTCCCAGGTGTGTGGGCTTGTGTATGTTCTAGGACCCTATGGGTCTCTCCAGTGAACTCTTCGAACTCTTCTGTGAGGCTGGGAGTTTCTCCTGCTGCTGCGATTCTCACAGGTTTTTACAGCCAGAGGTTCTGAGGCTTTATTTCCCTATATTGGAACCCTGGTTGCATGGTCTGTCTTGCTCCCCAGTTGTTCCTCCTGGTTTATCTGTATGCTAATGTGGGACTGCTCAATCTGCCAGGTGCCACCTTGCCCACCCAGTCTGTCACCTTGCCTCACATCCTCTCTACCCCAGCTGCCCATCTCTGCCCCTCCTACCAGTCTGTATGAATGTTTTCTTTAACTCCTTGGTTGTCGGATTTCCATACAGTTCAACTTTCTGGCAGTTCTTTTGTTTTTTTGTTTTTAAATTTGTTGTTGTCCTTCTGTTGGTTGTGCAAGGAAACAAAGCATATCTACCTATGCCTCCATCTGGGCTGGAAGTAAAAAATAAATAAAATCTTTTTAAAAAGTAAAAAATATATAATGTAGATCATCAAAGTCCCCTTAACTGCATTTTCTCACTCAGAGAGAATCACTGTTGACTGTTGGATACAATTTTCTGTAAGTTTTTGCCATGCAAATACTAATATATGTATATAGACATGTTTTTTGATAAAAGTGGAATCATATTATATTTCCACTTGCTTTTTACTTATCAGCATGTATAAACAAAACAGCACATGATAATCAAAACAGATGGTCCTTATGGACCAGCACTGTGCCAAGGACTTGTCACAGATTTCTTTCTCTGGTAAAATACTTATATATCTTGACCTGGTGTTCAAGTCAAATCACATAGAAAGGTCATCTCTGTTTTAATGTTAATAGAGCCCTCTGTTTGAACCATAGCCTATAAATAGGCTCCTCTGGATGGACCTTTGAGCCATTTATATATTTTCTTTATTACAAACAATAGAAACAAAGCACATCTTAGAATATTTAAATCTGAGCACTTGTACAAACATTTTTCTATTGGTTGTCAATAGAGGGCAGCACCCCTCCATGTGGGTTTTGCAAATATACTATGGAGAATATTTGGGGTTGTCATAACAAGTGGGGGGAAATGGGGCATTTTGTGAGCTGGGGCCAGGCATGCTGAATATCCAGTAAGAGCTGTCCCTCTCAAAATGCCAATAGCACCTTAGTTGGGAACATTTTGGCAGAAGATGAATCTTGGAGATGGAATTGCCATTTGAGCTATAAATATTTTATTTTAATAACAACTGTGAAATGGTCCAACAGGGGTTTATGTTTTGTGTAAATACTATGATATCTTCTCTCTCTCCTTTTGAAGCACAGCACCCACACTGAAGTGAGCTCTCAGCATTCGACCATCACCTCGCTGATCCCAAACCGAGCACCTACCGTGTTCACAGCATGGATTGAGGCACTGGGATGAGCAATAAACCAGCACAGGTCCTCCATCATGAAGCTCACATCCTAAACCCAAACCTGTTTGTCTGGATCACTCAGTCTATTTCCTTGAAAATATTTACCATACTGTGTTTCTGTGTTTAGAAACTGTGTCCCTCTGTACCTGAGACCCTTCAGCTTGGGGACCCATCCAGTGTTTGCCTGAAGGCCCCAACCAGACACCCAGTTCCTGAGAACAGGCAGATGGGGATAGAGCCCCTCCTGGGCCTGCTCTCTACGAGGCCACCGGGATCCTCCTACCCTGGAAACAGCCCCTCTTCTCTACTGACCCCCACCTTCCTCATTCCATGCCCTGGCTGGAACTGACTGGATAAGAGATGGAGAATGCCTGACTCAAGCTAGGCCAAGCAGATTCTATTCATGGAATTGGGACAAAGAAGATCAAATGTGTCTTTGCATGTGGCTCCATCTAGAATGAAGGGATCATGGGCTTTTGAGGGGTCCACTTTCCCACTGTGTAGACTAAAGGGCAGAGAAGAATAAATAATAGGCAGAGAGATTGAGTGACATGATAGACAGAGATAGTACTACTGCTTTCTGGGTCCTAGATCTGTCCCCTTGAAAACCAGACAGCCCTTCTATCCCTCAGTCCCAAGAAATAATCATAGAATTTTACAAAAAATTCCCCTTTCCCCTTAAACTGGTGTGAGCTGGTTTCTGTTTCAGTAGCTCCCCACCCCCGGGACAACACAGAGATCCACATGTCCTTGAGCCTTCCTGGCCTAAAATGAACAGACAGCAGGCCATACAGCCCTCCTGCTCTTCCCATGGGGCTCAATCTGTTTCAGAATCTCCCCTCAACAGTCAAGTAGGTCAAGTCACAGCCTGACACTTTAGTGGCCCCCTAACCTGAGAGGAGATCCACAGGACTATTTCTGGAGCTGCCTGCCCCAGAGGGATTCGAACTAGAAGTATGGACCTGAACAAAAAAATACCCCACTGGCCAAAAACTAGAATTATTTTCTAAAACAGATTAATACAGAAGTTAGAAAAAACGATGGCAATTTCAGGTCCCTAAATGGTAATAGGCATTTTGCCTACTAGGCATTTTATCTGTTTGTGAGGATTAAATTAAATAAGGACAACAGTATTGCATTTAGAATTTTTTCACCATCAGTTATACAAAAATCCAGTAACATCCCCCTTCCTCCTCTCTTTTATATGAGCTTTGCCATGATATGAACACAAATTCCTAACAAAACAAGTGCCCTTTTCTTCAATCCAGAAAAGGGATGCCCAAACATAAGCAGTGGATTTTTTGACTGCAACCAGAACAAATGACTACATTTCACATCCCATCCCTAGAACCACACATGCAGACACTGGGTGAAATAAAAATATGTAATAACTGGTATATCTGGAGAAGCTAAGCTGATCGCCACATTGAGGTGTGCAATGTGTATGTATACATTCCAAAAAATAAAATCTTTATAATTTGTAGTGCCTTCCAATACTTTCTAGTCTCTTCCATTCTCTTCTATTTCTTAAAAAGTTAGTCAAGGTTTTTACAACCCGAAAGTGCATTCTGAGCAGCTAAACACTGGTTGACAGTAATGAACTTGCTCTAAACCAACAATCAGCTTCACAGGCATAGACTCAGACCCAGAATTTACAGGGCTGCCCAGAGTCCGGAAACACAGGAAACACCTCAACCAGCGACCCTAACTGCCCACCTGTGTGGTAGGTGACCAGGGCTGGGGCAGATGGGGGATATGGTCCATTCACCTTAAAATTGAAGGAGCTCACTGGAGATGCACTGAAGCCATACTGTTCACTTTTCATTAGGTTGCTGTAGTAGTTATTAACCTTGGAGTTGCCATTCTCATGTGCTCTGGGGTCATCAGTGATGGGGCAGATGAAGAAATATTCATTTTCATCGCTGTCTTCCTCAGAGTCCACCTCCTGGCTGGCCCCAGAGGTCTGGCTGCCACCAATGCCTTCCAGAGGGAAGATGAGGTCTTCATCTGCCATGCTCCCACGGTGCCTGTTATGCCCCAGGGGTGGGTAGTACAGCCAGAGTTCCTGGGTAAAAGCTGCAGAGCGGGCCCTGAAAAAAAGCAAGAGAATGGGTGCTGGGTCCTATGCGGGGAGAGGCTAGCTAACAGGCACCTCACCTGAATGCCACTGGTGATGACAAGAATCAGCACTCTCAGACTGAAAACTACAGCTATCTTTTGGGGAGGCACTTGGCAGGCACCATGCAGGGACATTTTAAAAGTACAAATCCATCAACCCAATAATTCCATACCCAAGAACTCAAGTGCTTAAAACAAGGCAGGGAAACTAAATGCTTCTTTAAGCAACTAAAGTAATTTTTTTAGGACATTTAAATCAAGTGGTTCTCCTGCTTAACACCCTCCCTCAGCTTCTCTTTACATTTCTGATAAAATCCCAACGCCTTTTAAGGTCCCAAGGCCCGAGTTAACTGGTCTCTCACCACCTCTCCTCAGGCTGTGGTGTCCCCCAGGCACACTGGCTTTCTTCTGGTTCTGTAAATGTGAGGAACCCATTCCCCCTCAGGCCTTTGTACTTGCTGTAGCTTGTGCCAGGAACACCCTTCCTAATCTTCTAACATCGAGTTCTTCCTCATCATCTAGATCCCAGGTCAAAAGTCACATTTCTAGAGAAATCTGCTCTGATTCCTCAATTCAAAGAACCCCTCTCATTCTTCAAAAAATTAAAAATAGAACTACCTTGATAACAGACTCTGCCAGCACTTCTGTCTAGGAGAAAGCTGCCTCTGCAGCTCCCACACTGATGACAGACAATTCAGTTTTGTCCCATGTGCCCCAGTGCCTTTTGGGCTGCTGCCACAATACTGGAGCTTAGAGCCAGTGTGTCCAAATACAGTCAATCACATACCACAGTATTTAAGTTATGGGGTATCAAAGGAGAAGAATGAACTTCATCAAAGAATTTTGCATTTTCTTCTGGGAAAAAGGCATTACCCTCAAGTAACCTATCACACTTCAAACTTCATTTCAGCATTTGCTTCGCAGTGGTCTCAACTAACTCAAAAGGGCTTAATGTTATCAACTTTGACCAACACCTTCCTGCAGCAAAATTCATGAAGTCTGAGCAATAACAATCATGGCTCAGAAGTTTAAGAAATTCATTACGAAGGTAAAAAGAACAATCTTGGGACAGAGTGATGATGGAAAAGGGACAAATGGCCAGCCACCAGCTCCTCAGAGCCATCTTGATTGCCAGAATCAACATATCTTGCAGCTTCTACGGCAGAGAATTCAAGTGGGAGGACAAAACTTGCTCATTGGAGGCCCTTGTGGAGTGTATTTGGACCACATTTCTTTAACAGTGCTGGTCATATCTAAGGTGACACCAGGGTCCCTTCTGACCACATGATAGAGTAAAAGGATATCAATCCTTTGAAGGGTTCCAGCTACCCTAAACTGCTCCACATGATGGTATGGAGGAAACATTGTCTACCAAACCAACAAGTAATGTGATACAAAAAAGGAACATAAACATCACTAAGAAGTTCAGTGGTGGCTGCTCTCTGTGGCCAGAACTGACAGGAAAAGATGATGTGGCAGGTGAGGGATCACAGACAGCAAAGTCAATGATTAGAATCTGAAACAAGAAAAGCAGGTGATAGTACATAACCATCCAAAGCCAAGTGGGCACAATCATTATAATCAACAGCATGATTGGAGTGGCAGCCAGAGGGTTGTAGCCTGGCCCAAAGAGGTCTGAACTAGAAGGACATCCTGTGGGATGTAACATGGGTCCACTAGATAGAGAATGTCATGGTTATCTGGCTAGATGAGTAAAAAGCTGGCTAATACTTTGGAGGCCTTGGTAAAGCACAAGCAGATGGATGAGCGTAGGAGATAAACTGTGAATATTAGGTGTTCTACTGCATCAATAAAATTTTTATGGCTCCAGTGATTAAAAAAAAACAAAAATAAAAATAAACCCTACCATATAACCCATCAATCCCACTTCTGGGTATTTATCTGAAGAAACTTAAAGCAATGATTAAAAAGATATATGCATGTTTATGTCCACTACAATGTTATTTACAATATAACCAAGATATGGAAACAATCCAAGTGCCAGTCAATAGACAATCATATGTTGATTCTGGCAATCAAGATGGCTCTGAGGAGCTGGTGGCTGGCCATTTGTTCCTTTTCCATCATCACTCTGTCCCAAGATTGTTCTTTTTACCTTCGTAATGAATTTCTTAAACTTCTGAGCCATGATTGTTATTGCTCAGACTTCATGAATTTTGCTGCAGGAAGGTGTTGGTCAAAGTTGATAACATTAAGCCCTTTTGAGTTAGTTGAGACCACTGCGAAGCAAATGCTGAAATGAAGTTTGAAGTGTGATAGGTTACTTGAGGGTAATGCCTTTTTCCCAGAAGATAAAAAAGTGGTGGTACATATATACAATGGAATTATTACCGAGCCATAAAAAAGAATGAAAGCTTGCCATCTGTAACAACATGGATGGACCTAGAGGGTATTGAAATAAGTCAGACAAAGACAAATGCTATATGACTTTATGTATGTGGAATCTAAAGAACAAAATAAACAAACAAAACAGAAAAAGACTCATAGATACAGAGAACAAACTGATGATTGCCAGAAGGAGACGGGTTGGGGAGCTGGATGAAAGGGGGAAAGGATTAAGATGTATAAATTGGCATTTACAAAACAGTCATGGGGAATACAGTCAATAACATTGTAATAGTTACGTATGATGCCAGGTGGATACTAGACTTATAAAGGGGGTCACTTTGTAAGTTATATAAATGTCTAATCACTATGCTATATACCTGAAACTAATATGACATTGAATGTCAACTGTAATTTAAAAATAAAAAATTATTGAGAACCCCTCTCAAATGCATACTCAGTCACTCCTCTAGTACACAGCCCAAGCTGAAATCATCTCATTTACTTATTGTGTATGTCCCAGTGTCTCAAACAGTGCCTGGTAGTGTAGGGACTCAATTCACATCCCCAGGATGAATGAGTGGCTTCCAGAGTGTTCTCAGTAACAGCCCACAATGCTCATCCATGGAGGCCTGCTCTACACCATGAGAGGCTGTGCGACTGTCACCATGGGAGTTCTGGATACACAGACATGCAAGATAGTCAAGAAAGAGTTCAAGAAGGTTGTAGGATACAGTATTATTTTTATATACTAGTAATGAATAATCAAAAAAATGAAATTAAGAAAACAATGCCACCCATAATAGCATCAATAAGAATAAAATACTTGGGAATGAATTTAACAATAGAAGTGCATGACTTGTACACTGAAAAACAAAATTTGTCAAAGAATTTAAAGAGGACTTAAATAAATGGAAAGACATCCTGTGCTCATAGATCAGATTTAATATCGTTATGATGACAATACTCCCCAAATTGATCTATAGGTTCAACCCAATCACTATGAAAAATTCCAGCTGGCAGCTTTGTAGAAATTGACAAACAGGTCCTAAAATTCAGAAGGAAATTCAATGGACCCAGAATAGTCAAAACAACCTTGGGGGGGCGGGGACAAAGTTGGAGGAGTCACACTTCCTGAATTCAAAACTGAGCTACAGCCATCAAAACAACTGGGACAGGCATAAGGGCAGACACATAAATCAATGGAATGGGACTGAGAGCCCAGAAATGAAGCCTCACATTTATGGCCAACTGATTTTTAACAAGTTTACAAAGACCATTCAATGGGGAAAGAATAATCTTTTCAACAAATGGTGCTAGAACAAGTGGATACACACTGAAAAAGAATGAAGTTGAAGCCCCTCCTTACTCTATATACAAAAATTAACTCAAATGTATCAAAGACTTCAATATAAGGCCTAAAACTCTCTTAGAAAAAAATCTTTGTAACCTTGAGTTAAGCAAAGACTTCTCAGAACACCAAAAGCAAAAACTACAAAAGAATAGATGAACTGGACATCAAAATTAAAAACTTTTATGGTTCAAAGGACTCCACCAGGAGAGTGAAGAGACAACTCACAGAATGGGAGAAAATTTTGGTCATCATATATCTGATGAGGAATTACATAAAGAATGCATATAACTTAATAATAAAAAGACAACCCAAATAAAAATGGGCAAAGGACTTGAATAGACATTTCTCTAAAGAAGATACACACATGGCTAAAAAGCACACAAAATGTTATGCTCAACATCATTAGCCATTAGGGACATATAAATCAAAGCCACTGGCATAGATATAGTTTTAAAAACTGGAAAGTAAAAAGTGTTGGCAAAGATGTGGATAAACTGAAACCCTCACATACTATTGATAGGAATATAAAATGGTGCAGCCACTTGAAAAAAGTCTGGTATTTCCTCAACAAGTTAAACAGAATGATCCAGCAATTCCACTTCTAGGTATAAACTCAAAAGACATGAAATTATGTCTACACAAAACACTTATGCATGTTCAGAGCAGCATTATTCATAATAGCCAGAAAGGGAAACAACCAAAAATGTCCATCAACTGATGAATAATTAAACAAATGTGGTCTACCCATATAATGGATACAACCACAAAAAGAAATGAAGTACTGATACATGATGAATCTTTAAAACATCATGCTAAGTGAAGGAAGACAGCTGCAAAAGACCACATATTGAATGATTCTATTTATGTGAAATGTATGGAGCAGGCAAATCTACAGAGACCAGAAGCACATGAGTGGTTGACTAAGGCTGGGGACTAGGAAGGAATGGGGAACAATGTACTAATGGGTTTCTTTGGAGTTGGGGGAAATGTTCTAAAACTGATTTTGTGTTGGTTGCATGACTCTGAATATACTAAAAAGCACTGTACACTTTACATCAGTGGATAGTTAGATTTGTAAATTATATTTCAATAAAGCTAAAGTTTAAGAAAAAGATAGTCAACAAAAACAATTAGAAAGCAGGTTGCAGAAGAGCAGGCATGTTAAGGTAACCCTCTCTGCTAAAAGGAAAGGGTGTTTGTAGAAGCAGTAAAACCTCCCTGCAGGACCCACTGACACTCACCAGTACTGGGGTGGGTTGTGGGACTGAAGGG